CAAGATTTCACCCAGGATCATTATTTTTCTCTAAGAGGGAAATTCAGGCATGGAATGCCCTTCCTGCGGACATTGTCGTTTCCCATCCGTGGACATCATTAAGACAAAGCTTGGCCAGCACAGCCTTACGGGCCACCACGTCAACTGAAGGAAGAAGAGCTCTCTCAAACCAAACTTTTAAATGCTATAAATGTATTGATAGCTATTTTTAAGTAGTATTACTATTTACTCCAAGTATTTGCACCGTGCATAGCCAATATTCGCGCTGCCTCCTTCTTGCTATGCGAACTGCAATGATCGCGTATGCAGTCGCCTCTACTGCACCTATGGTCTTAGGCTACGCTGCCTCGCCACGTTCTTCCTCATATCGACCTAAAAACTGACTGCCGACGGCCGTGGCGGTTTCCTCTGTTTTTATCATAGCAAGGGCACATCATGGTCGCATCTCCGGTTCTTCGGGCTGTCCCCGTGACTCTGCGGTCTCCTTCTCGTGTGGCCATTGAGAGAAAAATATTGCTCGGGATGGGCCCCTTGCTTGCCGCCAACATTCACAGCAGCAGGCTGGTCCTTTCTTTCACATGCTTGCTCCCACGAGCGACAGTTTTTCTCCTTAAAAACACAAATGACATTCCATTTTTAAATTCTGACCGTACCTTAGGAGTTTTTTTAGTGTCTGCTTTTTTTACTTAGTGACACCCGCTGGCTCGTGTTAACTGACATCACCACATATGATTGTATTACTTGGAACCTTTGAAATGTTCGGCTGTGTCGATGCATTTCTTAACTACTGTGTACCAACAGGGAGTTCAAAGGTGTTTTCCTTTATTTCTCTTATTAAACTTGACTTGACTAGTATTATAACAAATATAAATTGTTTTTTCGTGCATCAAGACAGTATTCGGCGGCTGGTATTATACTATGCACTACTATATCAATCCAACTTCCGCTTAAAGACGTATATGGATGTAAATATAAGGACATCTATAAACAGAGTCTTCGATATTTGACCACTCTGTTAGAGAAGAAATGCAGACAGGCCATAGTCGCACGTAGTTTGGATGAACGACTTCTGAATTTCGTTGTCGTTGCTAATTCGAAGAAAGCGGCTGATGTCAGACAGCAGTTCTGGCCGAGGGTGGTCTACAATTGTAGAATCAGGTAACCTTGTAGCTGTTTGTAACTTAAAAGAAAGGGATTGAGATTAGGCCGTCGTATTTTGTAGGATAGTGAGCCCTGTCCAATAAAAAATTTGGTTGCACACTTTTGGGCCTTTTAGAGGGTGCTGAGGCCACTAACGGCTTAGGGTCTCCAAGTGTGCATAGCAAAATCCAGTTGAGACTGCACAAATGTGTGACAGACTTTAATGAAGCAGACCTTAATGAATTTTACATCCAGAAATCGTGAAAGTTGTCCTGAATACAGATCTCGGACGGTACTTCGTTTTATAGCGTCCCATATGCGTATTTACCTTCCGCTCCTGGCGTCCACGACGTGCTGGAGGTCGTATGGCCACAGTTCTTGAGCTGCCGCAAAATGCATGCTCATTGCCTCTGGGACAGCTAATCGCAGGCGTATAAAACTTATTATCAACCCATCACCTGAACAAACAGACGTCGGCTAACTATAACGAGACGTTTATTCATTCATCTGTACAAAGCCCTAAAGTACAGAAGC